TGAAAACACAACACAACATTGCCTCTGGGACACATTAAAGGCAAGTCCTATAAGGGAGATTTACAGCTCTAAGTGCCCACATTAAACATTTAGAAAGAGCACAAACAAATGACTTAATGATGCCACTCAAAAATTTGAAGAAATGAGAGCAAGCCAAACTCAAGTCCCACAGATGGCAATAAATAATAAAAATAAGAGAAGAAACTAACAGAAATAGAAACAAAGAAAACGATACAAAGAGCCAATGAGTTTAAGAGCTGGTTCTTTCAGAAGATGAACAAGATTGACAGAACCCTTCCAAATTAACCAGAAGAGAGAGGACCCAAATCAATAAAATCAGAAATAAACAGGGAAACATCACAACAGACATCAAAAAATTCAGATTATAAGGGAATACTTTAAAATACCTGTACTCCATTAAGTTAGGAAATCTAAAAGAAATGGACATGTTTCATCCAAACCATCCAAATTGAACCAAGAAGAGATCAACAACCTAAACAGACATAATTAAGGAAGAGTTTGAAACAGTAATAAAATAATCTTCCAATCAAAGGAAAAGCAACTGGATAGATTTATAGCAGAATTCTACCAGAATTCCAAAGAATGTCTACAGCCATCCTTCTTAAATTATTAAAAGAAAAGAAACAGAATGAGTACCCCCAAACTCCTTTTATAGGCAGTTTACTCAAATACCTAAACTAGTTGAAAGCACTACGAAAAAGAAAATTACTCACAATATCCCTGGTGAACATAGATTCAAAAATCCTCAACAAATTACTTGCAAACTGAACAAAGATGTACATCAAAAAGATTATCTACCATGACCAAACTGGCTTTATCAGAGGGGGACAGGGTTGGTTCACAAGTCACTAAATGTATGGATTTAAAATGTAAAATCCACATGTATGGATTTTAAGATAAAAGTCACACGATCATTTTAATAGATGCAGAAAGAATCTTTGATAAAAATCTACTGGGCTATGATCAGAATACTTCAAGACACCAGCTAAGCTCCTTCTCAGTGACATCTAACCACACCAACCCCCCTCTTTCTTTCTTGATTTAAATGAGTGTGTGTATGTGCGGTGTGGTGTGTGTGTATCAGTACACGTGCACATATGAGTTTGTGTGCAAGTGTAGGTCAGAGATCGATATCTGGTATCTTCCTCAGTCACTCTCCACTATTCTTTGTGAGACATGGTCTCTGTTTGAACCCAGACTTCTCTGACTAGGCTTGGCGGGCTAGTCAGCAAGTTCCAGAGATCAACCTGTTTATTCAGCACTCGGATTACAGACGCAGTCTGCCAAGCTGGCTTCTTACAAAAGATCTGATTTTCAGAGCTGAGAATGGCAAGGGCTGGAGCCAAAGCCGTGTCTTCTAGACATGATGGACCTCTGCTCTCAGTACTCAGAGAAGCAAGGACATTTTTGTAGAACAGAAAAAATGAATGCTTTTTGTAAAGATCATATTTACATTAAAAAGTAGATACTAGACATAAAGCAAAGGATACCCAGCCTACAATCCATAACCCCAGAGAAGCTTGAATCCTCTTCCAGAAACAGATGGAAGCAGATGCAGAAAACCACAACTAACCAATGGGCCAAGCTCCTGTAGTACAATCGAAGTGATGGAGGAGCAAAAATATGAACACAGGAGTCAAGATCACGATGGGGAAACCCACAGAATCAGCTGACCCCCGCTAGTGAGAGATCACTGACTCAGGTCTGACAAATGGGGAACCTGCATAAGACCAAACTAGACTCCCTTAATATAGGTGACAATGGTGCAACTGGGACAATATATGAGGCCACTGGTGGTGGGTTCAAGATCTAATACTAATACACAAACTGACTTAGTGGAGCCCATTCTATATGGAGAGATACCATGCCCAGCCTAGACACAGAGGTGTAGGGGTGGAGAGGTGCCTTGGTTCTGCCTGTCCCTTGATGATGGGACAGACTTAGGAGACTTCCCATGGGAGGTGTTAATCCTCTCTGTGGAGCAGATGGAAGGAAAGGAAAGAGGGGGAACTGGGATTGGAATGCAAAAAATAAATTAATAAAAATTTACATTAAAAATCCTACTATTTCCAAACTGTAGCCATTTATTTCCTGTAATTCACAAGGTAACATATAGACAAGTCCTTTAATTTGGTGCTTTTCTGGAATGTAGTGAAATACTATTGGGTTTTGGTGTCCCCAAATTATACAACATTTGGGAAAAGTTGATGAAGGTCCATGTTGCCTGGCAGTTTAAAGATTTTTTTTTTCTCATATCATGTTTCTTTTCAAATAAAAGCCCCAATGTCTATGTATTTAAAAAAAGTTAACCCCCCCACCCCTCACAGCATTGTCTGGATGTGTGAATTTTATGAAAATTCCACCCATCTAATTCATTCAGGTTTGTGACAGTGTGTACCCATTAAGTCACTTTCCGTTGTTAAACTGATCAGCTCTCGGGAAAAGTGTGACTCTTCCCGACTCGAATGACATGTTCACATATACCTTATGACATGATGCTTTGCAAGGCCTAATTGTAAATGAAATGATTTCCTGGGAGGCCTTGAAAATTTTGCCATCTAGATAAATAATAGAGTACTGGCCCACAGGAAAAGCCATGTCCCTTTGTTTGGCTGCCTCAAGACTGAATATCAGATCAATGTTCACCACCATTCCCAGATGGGAGAGGAAGAAGCAGCACATGGGTGGAAGGAGGTGGCTGGGCATCCTTTATAATAGTGCACATTAGTTACAAGCATTTGAGCATGGAACGGTGTGTTCATGCTCACATTTAGAGGTTATAGTCCATTACTACAGGTAAGTGTGGTGGCCAAACCTGGAGGCAGCTGCTCACAATGTATCTGCAGCCAGTAAGCAAAGAGAGATGAGTGATGGTGTTCAGCTAGCGTCCTCCTTTTATATAGTTCAGGACCAGCCCATGGAAATGTCTGCTCATACACAGGGTGGGGATTGTTATCTCAGGTATTACTCTAGGCACTTCCTCACAGACACGCCCCGAGTTGATTCTACATCCTGTCACATTGACAACCAACATTAACCAGCACAGAATACAAAGAAGGTGAGGTCTATGACTCCTTCCTTATAATGCTATCCTACTTTAAGCCCCAAAGTACTGAGATATTCTTGGAACAGGGTCATTCACTATGTACTCTGGCCATGGCTTGCTTGCTGGGTACCAAGGGCAGTCATTCACTGGGAACCCTGGTCTCGGCTTGCTGGTTGGTAGCCGGAGCACAGAGTCATTAACTGGACACAATTGGTTCATTGTGTAGCTCCATCAAAGAAATAAAATTGAGTATCTATGTATAGGCATGTTTGCTCTATACCCCAAACACAGCAAGAAGATTTGCTGAGGGCAGTTGTACAGGGAGGGGTGGGGAGCAGTGAAAAGGTTAGGTTCTGAATTAGACTCAGACTCAGAGTAGGATGTTTACCCTGTGAGTAGTTCCTTATTTGATGGATACTTTTCTCCCTACTAAGCGTGTCTGCATTTCTGCAGACCCCTACTGTGAACTTGCTGGTGTAATTAGCTTGACCAAGAATCTTGGAGATTGTGAGCTGTCCAAATGCAGCCTCATGGCATACTCCAAGGGTGACACTGAGATGAATGCCTACCTAGTTAAAGCACGACCACATCGAGACTCAAGTCTCTTTCCTTGAGACCTTTCATGTTTATCTAATTGTATTGAGACTACTCAAGCTCCAGCAATATATATTTTCAACTCAAAAAGCTACTGCAATACATGCATGACTATGTGCCTGAATGACATCCACAGAGAAAGAGAACACAATGGAATGTGTCTTCATGAGAAGTTGTTATGAAGCTAAATAGCTTCTCACCTCATTTATACCTCATTGTATTTCCTTATCATAGCTTCCCAAGCTACAGTAATGTGCCCACTTCCATTCCGAGCAATGGACTTGGTAGAGGAGCCTAATTCCTTCCTCTTACGATAAATTTGTAGACTACTTTGCCATATGAAGGTGCCTGTTGGCTTTGTCAGCCATGCCACTTTTATCATTTACACATATGCATAACACACGCAACAATCTTGAAGTCCCAGATGCTTATACACTTTTGAATCCTCTCACTCTCTATCACTCTCTGCACAGTCTGATATCCTTAGGTGGTCAGTTTGATTTTCCTTATTGCTACTTCCTTTTAAGGCATATCTTAGAAAGTAACACAAAATAATATGATTTCCTGATCATTCAAAGGTGGCTATGTGGGACTGGAGAGATGGCTGAGCAGTTAAGAGCTCTTGCTGTGCTCTCAACGACCCAGGTTCAGCTTCCAGCACCCACATGGAGGTTCACAAATAGCTGTAATGCCAGTCCCAGGAGACTGGATGCCCTCTTCTGGCCTCCATGGACACTGCATGAGCATATGATGCTTACACATTTCCAGCCCAGTTTTCAAATATTAACAGATCCTAGTAATAGAAGAAGAAATCATAATTATGTTTTAGACTTGTACTTTTGCTATGTTTCTTCAGATTATTTCCCTTTAGATACCACAAAAGATGTAGAAGGTCAAAAATAATGACACTTTCTTTTCACCTTTTGTTTTGGCAAATGCTTCGAGGTATAGTTTATCTATTTTCGATGTAGGGTTTTTCTGTGTAGCTTTGGAGCCTGTTCTGGAACTAGCTCTTGTAGACTAGGCTGACATCAAACTCACAGAGATCCACCTGCCTCTGCCTCCCGAGTGCTGAGATTAAAGTTATATGCCACCACTGCCTGGCCAGTATAGTTTATTTAAATACATTCAAAATAAACATGGCATATTATGATAATAAAATACTACTTGTTCTAGACAGACATTAGTTATGTCTCTGGCATTATCTGTAAGCATAAAGATGTACAGTCCTACAACTGAGCAGAAAGTAGATAGCACCATCCAGGAAATGAATTCATTTGAGAAAAGTTATGTTTCATTCTTAATGTAATTCCACTTATAGTAAGGTTATTGGTTTTACCTTAAGATCTTTGTGACTGCAGTCTCCTTTTCCAGAAGGTTCCTGGCCCTGATGCTGAAAACAGACTTGCGGAGCTGGAAAGTAAGAACCAGTTTAGTTTTGGGAGGTAAAGGGATGTTATATTCACACCCCACAAGACACCGGTTCTCTTTCCTCCTTTGACCTTTATGTCACAGGGTACATTTCTCTTACTATCTCTTTTTTCCCATCTTATGATCCTCTTTACAGCTTTCCCATCCCCTCCATAAACATACAATTTTCTTTTACTCCTCCTTTTTTACTTAAATTAGAAGCAATCTTATTTTACATATCAATCCCAGCTCCCTCTCCCTCCCATCCTCC